TATTTATAATAAAGATGTCAGTCATTGGATAAATAAAATTAATCCAATACAGGAGTTAAAACAGTGTTTGAACTGTGGGGGCAGTGGAACAAAGATTTGCTTCAGGAAAGAATAACTTAAACAGAAGGCTGCTGACTAAAGAGAAGGAAGCTAGGTAACTTCTAACAAAATGCATATTTATGCTAATGAGAAAATATGCAAGTGCTCTTGAACTTTTCTGCACATGAATATGTAGGATTTTGAAAGCAATCTCTCATTCACATACGAACAGTTAATACACCTTGCTTATCAGACCTTGCAGAATTAGCATGAAAGAAAAGTAAATACAAGGATGAATCCAGAAGCACAGTATCTCTCTGGCTAATTATAATTCTGGGGTTTTATTAATTTTTTTTAATCATCCCAAACTTTTATAGCAGAAAGTAGGTTCATCCATTCTGGTAAAAGAGGGAGGTACCTGCAAAAAAACCAATCTTGCCAAACTAATGATTGCATTTTTTGGTAGTCATTGGTTGCACTAATTGTAAGCATTAAGTTCATGAAGATTGCTGGCTCGCTTCTTGCAGCAGCTGCATGGTATGGCTTCTGTGACCGATCCCAAAGAAATGGAAATGTGATGCACAGTTTTCAAACACAGCCAAGCTTTGGAACATTTTTACAACAGAAAATAAAGGCAAGTAATCCAGTTGGTTAAATGAAATTATACTTATGCAAAGTCTGTAAAACTAGTAACTTGTCTTACCCAAGCACATCACTGAGAAAAATACGTAAAACTGAAAATATGTTCAACTAAACCAATTGAAACAATCCTATCTCCATGTCATAGGGTATAGAAGGCCTATATCCTAAATCTTCAAGCACTGAGCAGTAGGATGGCAAAAGACTTGCAGAATTAGATTGTTGGAATCTTTCACACAGATATTCCACATTCTTTGCAGCTTTGATCATCCCATGGTTTCCTGTGCAATAACTGAAAATATGTGAACAGGGTTTCTTTCATCCCTTCCCTTAGGAGAATATTCTGTACCTGGTAGATCTGACTGTTAGACATTCTTTCCTAAATTAGTCCTTTCCCTAATCTGCTGTTATTGCCATTTATATGTATGACATTATATTCTCCGTGAAAAGTCACTTAAACCCACTCTTTTTAACAGCGGGGAAAAAAATCTCTATTATTGGGGAGGAAGCAAAAAAAGTTGTTCTCCTTCATTATGCTTAACAGAAATGCTTGTGTCCAGGGTTTTTTTCTCTGGAATCATCTCTAAGCCCAGGAAAATTTCAGCTCAATTTGTGGTTCCCATGAAGCCCTAATTCGTCACAACATCATGTTACAACCCAAAATACAACTCAATCACTAGATACTGAGCAAAGGGATTTAGTGCATGTGTCTGTCTGTTTCCAGGGGTTTGGAAGTAAAGCACACAAAACAAAGCTTTGGGGGTTTCCTGCAATGTACTGTGATGACAATCTGTAGAATTTAGACATAAATTTGTTCAGAGCTTTGAAGCAATCTCTTATGATTTGATTTGTTTCAGAAGTCTGCACAGGAGAAAAAGAAAGGTAGAGCTAGTTTCTGTGTCCCTTGGAAGGAGAGGATGGGTTGGGGTGGGCAAGCTGCATCTTTGGTCAGAAATAGGCATCTGCAAAACACCAGGAAGGAAAGATAGGGAAGGAGCCCTGCATTCACAGAGCAACGTACTTTGTTCCCCTCCATTTCACTTGATGTACGTTAAATGTAGGTAAGTGCTGAATGGAGGCAGAAAACCAAAGGAAACAAATTACTACTTGGGTATAAGCAGAAGAGATGATTCCCTTATTTTATGGATATAATTACAGACCTTTTAAGGTTGAAAAAGTCTCTAAGATCATTGAGTTGTTCAACCATTAACCCAGAATTGCCAAGCCCTTCACGAAACCGTGTCCAAATGCCATATGTACATGTCTTTTAAATCTGTCCAGGGGTGATGATTCCACTGCTGCTGTGAGCAGCCTGTGTGAGTTTACCCTTTCAGTAAAGAATTTTTTTACTAATACCTAATTCCAATATCACATAAGGGTGTCAGGTAAGGAATTGTAGGATGTGTAAATCCTTTAAAAAGCCCCCCTTTGAAGTGAGGTCTTTGTAACAGACCAAGATAAGGGAGAATTTCCCAAAGTAGTAGGATTTGTCTGAGAAGACCTTGAGGAGTTTCCTGCAGTTCCTGGTTCATTCTGCCTCCCAATAGCCACAGATTTGTACTCCAGTACTCAGGCTTTTGCCCTGGAAGCACCTCAGCATGGCACTCTTGATCTAATCTTTCACAGCTCCTTGTGAAGAAGTAACCAGCACACACTGAGCAGCAGGTATTGCTTAGTAAGGGTTTTCAGTGACCTTCTTTACATGTCTGATCTGCCCTGTATCATCCCTCATGTTTCAGGCCTGATCTGTCTGCTCAGATACTCACCTTTTAAGTAAAAGATTATTAGCTCAAAACTTCAATCCTCTTGGCATTTCCACACTATCCAGAGGTAGAGGATGCTGTGGTTATCCAGCATTCTTCCCTGTGTCTGTAGGCTGGGATTTGCTACTCAGGAGACAGCATATTTATAGAGATGGCGAGCAGAAACAGTTTTTTCAGAGAACTGTTGCTGAGTTGTTCTCTCCCAAAAGGCTGTCTGAGTCCAGCTTTGGATCCTCTCCCTCCCATGAAACCTGCAGCTCTGAGAGATCCTCTGTTCTCTGAGTGAGTAAGGACTACAGAATTAATGCATGTAGCACAATCCATTTTGTTACTGTTTCTGAGCACTACACCTCCAGTACTGCTTAAAAACTCTTAAGTCCAAAGGAAAATGGCTCCTCTCCAAGTGCTCCTCTCCTGCAGATGTCAAATTGTCTTTTCTGTTCCAGTCTGAGTTAGATTTCTGCATCCTGAGAGATATACGCTGAGCACTGGCTTTATTTATCATTATTAATATGTTCCTTTTTATGTGTCTCAGATCATGAAGTGGCATTTTATGTTGCCATGGTAAGTGGAATGTCTGAACATTTAAAAGTTACTATGAAGCATGCAAGAGTATAATTAATATTTTGCAATTCCTTCCGAAGGAGAAATCGAGTACAAGGACATGTTGAACAGCAGAGAGGCAGATTATAACCCTCTTCTGAACTCTGCTTAGACAAGGAATAAAGTACCACATATATTTAGAGTCTTCATTATTTTACAGCAAAGCTAGATTATTTAAATCCAGCTTCTATATCACAAGAAGAGACAGGATGAACAGTCTCGTATTTTGTACAAAGTTTTCAATGAAAGCAATGGTATACACATAGTGATAGTGGGTTTGGTGAAAGCTGTGAGCTACATGTGGGAATGAATGCTGCCTTTCAAGTGGAAAAATATTTTGATGTTACCTGCCCTCATGTTGCTGACACATGCCTTTTTACAGGCAATATCTATCTATGCTTTGCTATCTGTTAGAGCCTCCTTGCTGTGTTGGTTTCGCACAGCCTGGTTTTTGGTAGCAGGGGGGCCATAGAGGTGGCTTCGCTGGGAAACTGCTGGAAGCTTCCACTATGTCTGATGCTTCCCCAACCCCTGATGGCTCTAAAGACAGACATGCTGCTGACCAAAGCTGGGCCAATTAGAGAGGTTGGTAATGCCTCTGTGATACCAGATTTAAGAAGAAAATCAAAACAATGGTGGGGGCAGTTGTAATTTTCCAGCTAGAGAAGAGGAGGAGGTACACACATGTGAGGGAAGCAACATGGAGAGACACTAAGGTCAGTGGAGAAGGAGGGGGAGGAGGTGCTCCAGGTGCTGGAGCCAAGATCCCTCTGCAGGCCGTGGTGAGGACCATGGTGCCCCTGCAGCCCATGGGGATCCATGGGCATGCAGAGATCCACCCACAGTCCGTGGGGGAGGTGCCCATGCCCGAGCAGGTGGATGCCTGGAGGAGGCTGTGGTCCAGTGGGAGACCCAGCTTCCAAGCTGGAGCTGCCTGTCCTTGAAGGACTGTACCCTGTGAAAAAGTGACCCACGTCACAGCAGGACATGATCCTTTGAGTTTGCTCTTTGGGAGGACTGCTGCTTGTGAGAGTGGACCCATGCTGGAGAAGTTCACGGAGAACTGTCTCCCATGGGAAGGGACCCCACAGTATAGCGGGGGAAAAACTTCTCTCCCTGAGCAGCAGAAGAAAATCTTGGGTGATGAACTGACCAAAACTCTCATGCTCTGTCTCCCTGTGCTGTTGGTGGGAAGGAAGGAGGGGTGGGGTGTTTTAAGGGCTTATTTTATTAGTAATAAACTTTATACCTCTAAGTTGAGCCTCTTTTGCCCTTGGAGTGTTATCTCCTGGTCCTTCTCTCAACTCATGAACCCTTTGTTTAAATTTTTTCTCTCCTCTGCCCAGCTGTAGCAGGAGAGGGCAAGTGAGTGGCATTCTTGGGTGCTTGGTGTCTGGCCAGTGTCAAACCACAAAATTTGCTAATGAAATACAGCTGGTAGATTGTTTGATCAGCTTAGGATGAGCTCACTTGTAATTAAAATCAGGTAAATTTGATGGTAAACAGATACTCTAAATGGACTTCTTTCAAGGTCTGTTTCAAGACACTGAGGAGCTGTCTGTCTTGTGGCAAAACAGTTAAGGTATTGTTGGTGTCCTGAAATGTCTTATGTGCAGCAGATTTGCCCAGGTCTCCTCCAGGCAGCTAATGTAAGTTTCCATCAGTACTCAGAAAAGCTCAGCTTTCTGTCTCTGCTATGGAGAAGCTGCATTCTCCAGTTTTGGGGACCAGTTGACATTTTGAATTAACTCTGACAGTTGTAGGAAAAGAGGGCTTAGGCTTGTCTTTCTCTTCCTAGATGCATTGGTAGGGAGAGCTTTATGAGAGTTTCCTTCATGCCATGTGGGTTTGGAAGCTGGAAAGAGTCCTCCAGGAATTTATATTTCTTACTGCCTGCGTTATTTGTATCTAATGATATGCTGTTGAGCAGAAAGAAATGGTTAAATCCAAGATGACTGCAGGCTGGGAGCTCCAGTTCTGCATTTTCTTACTCAAAATAAGTTTGAAAAAATTTCATGCTTGGCCATGTAGCAAGTCATGATCCTCATTGCAATATTTTTCTTTGTTTCTCTTTTAGTCCTTGCTCCTGAGAATATACAGGTTCTGAACTCCATGGAAAACTCTCTGTCAGCTGGGATCCAGTGACTGATGTGGATAATTACCTCCTTACCTATTATCCAGCTGGGTATGAAATGTTGGTGAAACAAATCCACGTGCCCAAAGAGCAGCTGTGAGATGGTAAGATTCCACCCTGGCACCACGTACAATGTCACACTTCCATCATGTGTGAAGGGGATTGCCAGTGATCCCAAGTATCTAGAAGCAAGTACAGGTAGGAATAGGTAGTATTATTTGAAGAGTCAGATGTTGTAAATCTTGGAAGTTAGATTTCAAACAAGTGAGGAGGACTGAGTGCTGAAGAACACTTTCTCAACCCAGCCTAGAGTTATGTCATTGTTTTCTGGAGAATCTGTTCCCAGATTTGGAACATTAGGGCTGAATGTATTGCAGACTTCCTCTCTTTCTATTTTTCTTGTCCAAATCCTACTTGTGTTGACACCTGTGAATTCCAGGGAATTTTTAGTGTTGCTTGCTGCAAGAAGCAGGAATGGAAGCATGCCAGATAAAGGCAGCATGTTACGAAGAATAATGCACTATTCAACTGGATGCAGGAAGAACTTTAAAGTAGGCAGGATGTCATTCCTATATACTTACTGTCCAAACATGTCTGCAGCAGTGAGTTCTCCTCATCGTCTCTTCCCAGGACTGAATCAGCATAATCCTGCTGAAGTTAAGCGGTTCAGTGTGCAAAGACTGTGTATTTGAAGCAATCTCTTGAGAACTGAAACATCCTTTGATTAACAGCTGATATTACACTATCTGCTTGTACTTGGCAAAGATAGTGAAAAGCTTGGTGATTTTGACATTTTTCCTGCTTCCAGCACAACAGGTGGGAGTTGAGAGCCAGCAAAGGCCAGAGCTGGACTGTTACCATGGATAAAACTAAACCTGTTGAAGTAATGATTGTGCTGTCCTTGCTTGACTCCTCAGGTTGGCTGAGGAACATGTCTCGGGTCTCAGAGCAGGAAAGTGGGCAGGGAAGGACTTTTCTGTCTTCTGTTTACCTTTTTGTGCTGATACTGCTTCCCTGCATATCTCTGCTGTTTTTCCCAGTCTGGTCTGCAGTCAATGCCATCTGGGTGACAGAGGAGATGGAGTACTCCCTAGAAATGGAGTGGGAGAACCTACCAAAAGATATGCATTATTACAAGCTGAAGTTCAGATATCTAGTGGAGGTTGATGAAAAGCAGGTCATGATACCCAAAAGCAATGACCCTAGGAGCAGATACATCCTCAGTGGTGAGTATTGTGGGTGTTCCAAACTGGGCAGGAGGAGGAAGAAGTGGCAGGAATGATTAAGTCAGACTGTTAATCAGACTGAGACAATTCTTCTCTTCTGTGTGCGTGTCCAGGGAGATCTATTTGGACTCCCCTATCACATAAGGAGGGGTGTCTCCACAGGGAGAAAGCTATGCTGTGTAGTTAGCAAGTTTCCAGGCATATTCATTAATTTAATTCTGCCCTTGTTAGGAAAAAAGTGCATTCTTCTGTTTCCGAGCTGATATTATGGAAATCCCCACCAGCAGCAGTCAATATGCCTGCCCTAAAGGCAAGCTAGATCAAAGGTGCTGTCAAAACATTGAAAAGACAAAAAGCAAGTTGGATTGAAGTCTAAACTTTAAATACCCCTCTGCAACAAATCTGGAGCTGGATAAACTAAACAAAACAGCTTTTTTCAAGAAAAAAATGCCATCTTTCCTAGTTGTTGGTAATGCTCCCTTTTGCTCTTTGTAGGCCTGAAACCTGGAACAGAACATGAGGTCGTACCTGTGAAAGACAACACAGAGGGGAACCATTCTCAGTGGCTGGCAAGACAGGTATGTGGAAAGTTGCTTTTACTACAGTGATGTTTCTACAGGGTTTGGGGACAGATTTTTCAAAATTTCAGCACAAAAGGCTCATGATTCACTATTTCTTCATGCATGACCTACAGCCAGGTCTGCTTATACCTTGTCTGAACTTGCCTACATTGTATATTAAACACTAAACCCTAGGCCTAGCTCAGTCTTTTGCTTTGATTTTTTTAATAGTAACTTCACCCTTAACTTGACTAGAGCTCCATCCAGACACAGGATAAGTGTAGTGACCTAGCCTCTGTATGGAATAACAGCTCTGTTGGCTAATTGACTGTCTTAAAGAAAAATGGCAGAATGTTTTTTGAGCTATTCTATTGCAAAAGAGACCTTGAAGATTTTTAAACCCTCATTCTACTTACAAGATTCTGGAATTTCTGAAATTCATCTCTTACAAAAGGGGAGGCATGCTGCTTCCAAAGATTGAAAAATTCCGTATCAGGCCTGACATTCCTGAGGCTGTTGTGTAAATTATTCCATTAAAATGAAATCTATTTAAAACAACAAAACTTACAACCTCCACGTTGTCATTTTAAGGCTATTCTTCTGCCCTGTGTAGACTGTTATTATTTGGAACACCCTTGCACTTGTGTTTTCAAGCTGTTCTTCACAGACATGGGGGCTGCAAAACTTTTTAAAAAAGGAAAATAATAACCCCAATACTCATATTTTTATCCAACTCCCAGAATTTAGGAGATGCAAATAAGTAAATACCAGCTACTTCAAGAGTTACCACCAAGCTCTGATTCATCAGCTAAAATTGCAAAATCTTGGGGGAGTCTGAGAGGTCTGCAGGGAACAGAGAAAGGGAGGAGCAGCAGATGGCTGACAGTGGAGGTAGAGAAAGGGTAGACATTGTACTTGGAGCTGGGAGAGGGCAAGCCAGAAGATTGATGCTAAAATGATTTTTGCTTTTATATATTCTTCAGTTATTTGTAGCTCTGTAGACTATTGCTGTATAGCTAGATAGTTCCTGGCTCACTCCAGCATTTTTCCTACTCTGATAGACAGAAAGACAAAACACATTCCAAAGGCCCCAATCCTAATCTTGCTTCTTCTGGGAACCAAGGATGAGCTACCCTCCTAAGACACTTTCCTATAACAACTGGAAGAAGAGGGGCTCCAGAAGAGTTTGAACCAAGGAGGGGAATTACCTCATCACCTAATGTTTCTAATTGGTTATTCTTGTCAATTATGCTAATTTGCTACACTTACAAAACTGTATTTGCTATATGTGAGGTGGGCATTTTTCCATACTTGCACCTGGAGGCCTCCAGTTAAAGACCAGCTTTTATATTACCTCCTATATTAACATTGTCTTGAAAGTGTGTTGTTTTATTTCCAGATCTTTAAGGCATCTAGGTAATCCTCAAGCTGGTACCTGTGGAAGGCAAGACAGGTAGCCTGCAATGTCTGCCTCCAGAAAGAAATGGAGAGTTTCATCTAAATGGTAGAACATTCCTTCTTTCTCCTGGTTTCTCATGGATGTCTTTCTCCAAAGGCTGTTGGGGGAAACCTAAGTTGAATGTTTTTGCTAGCCAAAGCACTAAGGCAAAAATAAAGGAAATGTGTACGTGGAATGGTTTGAACTTGCAGGGACCTTAAAGATCATCTAACCCAACCCCCTGCCATGGGCAGGGACACCTTCCACTAACCCAGGTTGCTCCAAGCCCCATCCAACCTGGCCTTGAACACTTCCAGAGATGGGGCAGCCACAGCTTCTCTGGGCAACCTGTGCCAGTGCTTCACCACACTCCCAGGGAAGAATTTCTTCCTAACATGCCATGACAGGTATTTTAGGGGTATGAAAGTGATAAGGCTGAATTCAAGCTCAAACAAGGGGACCCCAACCAATGCCTTTGAAGCATGAATGTACCAATATCATTGGCCAGTGAGCTGGGCAGAGTTAAGACCTTTGACCAATCACATCTGTAAGACTGTGAAATTTGAAGCCCCTATGGGGGGAGGGAGGGTGAACATTACAAAGTTGTGCTGTTGCTGAGTGAACTCAGTGTGTGTGTGTGTTGCATTCCTGTCTCCACCATCGGAGACATCAAACTCCTGTCTTAATGAATTTGTACAATCCAACCATCCATATGTGGCTACAGAAGCAGTTTCTACTGACTATTGACAAATAGTCTTATGTAGGTGCAATGGGCATTTCTTCACAAAAATGATCTAGGGAAATGTTTGGGATGATCAACTCAGGATGTTATCCGACATACTTAAGCATATAAATTGGACTAGACATAACAGGAGATTACTGGGGTGGTTTGTAGGACTGTCTGAAGCTCTCACATGCGGGGATCAGTCAAATAGTGATGAAGCTCAATCAATCCCCTACTTTCAAGTTGATTCATTGTCTTGAGCCAGCCCATGTTCTCACTGGTGCAGATGACTGCCTGGGCAGCTCCTGGACCATGCAGGGAGTTCACTAGTGAAAAGCACTGCATAGGAAGAGCAGTACAGTCTGTACCTAGCTGCAGTGCAGTTAGACCTAAAGAACAAACTTGATTTCATATCACACAAGAAAATAAGTTGCTTGGTTTTTCTTGCCATAGGTGAGTGTCTCATACTGTTAATGAGCTGAGCTGTGATTATTCAAATTCCCAATTCCTAGCATGTGCTGCTCTGTGGTGGCACAAACAAGCCTCACCATCTTTAATTAAAATGAAAAGTAATGTATTTTTGTCTCACAAAAGAGCTGAGATTAGTACATGCAGGTGGAAAATCACAACTTTTACCGTACCTAATATGTGGTAAATCACCGTGCAGCTAAGCTGGTGGCTGTTGTGCATCTGTGCCCTGGAATTTAGAGCCTCCAGCAGAATAAGAAATCCTGTTCCGTTAATTTGAGAGGCATCTGCAAGACCTTCACTGCTCAGGCTGCTACGATGTATTTAGTAGTTCAGTGAATTAAAAAATCCTCACCAACCAAACAAAAAACATTGTTCTATGTAAAGGTCATGGGTTGTAGGGCTGTCATCAAAGTGCCACATTACTGCAGGCTCTTGTGCTGTGATACAAACTTAGGACTCCTGAAATCTAGTGTTGTGTTTCCATCTGAGAATTAGGTAGGGAAAAGATTGTAACAGTGGGAGGAATTTGAAAGTGACAGGGAGTTGCATTTCACAGATTCTGAGCAGGTGATTTAGGGACAGAACAGCTTGCGTGAGATGTTGTGATCTTCAGAAGCAAAATCCAGGAACACCATATTCTGCCTGGGCTCAGTCTCTACCCAGGCAGTGGTTGTGCTTTTGTTGCTCCCAAAGGAAGAGCCCTGCTCTCGTAGCTATGAGGAGAAGACCTAAATCTCAGCTGAAATACCTCAGAATTGGGCACCCTCCCACTTGCTAGTTCAGGCCCATCTTTGTAAAGAAATAAAGGATGAGAGGTGGAAGAAATCAGAAGGGCCCATGAGATCCCTGTTTGGACACAGATACTGTTGGGTAGATACTACAAACAGGTCATGTTGTAAATTCTAACAACATGGCTAATACTAAGGATTAGGGTAAAAAAAGGCTGTTGCAGCAGTGTCTCTTACGTGTTTGTGTAGCCTTATTTTAACTAGTTGATTTGTTTATCCTTCATCATGCAATAGGGAAATATACAGCTCCTTTAGATGAAGAAATTGAAGTGCAGAGAGATTAACAGCATGCAGGTCATCTTTCTTTGCAATAGAATGAGTAATCATGGTTCCTCAGTTATCCCTGTGTTGCTAGTCCTGGTTAAGGATGTGTAGTGATCTTCCTAATGTGTTTCCTGTTTATAACACTGTAAATCTGAACATTGGAATCCACTGGGTCAGGGACTTGCTGGAGGGAGATGAATACGTGTGTACCTGCATCACCCTGCCCTCTTAATGATTAAGAGCTTTGGTTGTTCTCTCACTTTCTGGACAGATGACGTGTATGTGTGCTTTGGAGGCTTGTGATCATGATAAAACAGGAAAGTAACAGTATCATGCTTTGTAAGGGCTTTTGTGTCCAGGTCAAGAGTTGCTGTGCTGTTTCCCAGGATAACATCTATTAGAATTAAAGACGGACATTTTAAACTACCTCAGACCTTGTCACCTTTAAGATTTATGGGTCCAATCAATGTGTGATCAGAAGTAAGACATAAAAAAGGAAGAAATTTGAGGGGAAGCAGTGTCACAGGTGGCAGCACAGCCTATGACAGCCTGTGTTCTTTGCTTTAACTGTCTCTTTTACTGCAGAAATCAACAGCCTGGCTCGCCTGGCTGTGCCTGTGCCTTACCTTGCCTTGCTGCTCTCCTTCATCATGAATACCAAGTGAGGTGATTAGCCACTGAGACCCAGTAAAGCCACAGATGAGTTAGTCCTTGTCATCCTTTGTTTCCTGAGGGTAGGAAAACAAAAATTTCAAGGGAAGGGTGTGTGTATTTTTACTCTGCACTTCATTTCATAGTAATGGACAGCCCAAAGAGTCTGGTAACTGACCAAGTGACAGAGGACTCAGCCACCATCTCCTGGGACAGAGTCCAAGCTCCTATAGACAGGTGTGTGGTAAGCTGCACTTCTGCTGGTGGGCACACCAAGAAAACAGAAGTGGGGAAGGACAGGAGCATTACTACCCTTCCAAGACTGAAGCCAGGCATGAAGTTCACCATCCATCTCTGGGCAGATCTGGGGAGCAAGCAGAGTAAGAAGGCAAGCAGTGACACTCTGACAGGTAATGTAGGCAGAAGGGAAAGAAAATGGCATGGAAGTTGTGTATTAACACAGACAGGCATCTGGAACAACCACAAAACCATGGCTGAAATGAAAATATTAGATTTATTTCAATACTTCACTAATTGAAGGATCCCAAAGCAATGCCTGGGCAGAGACACGCAGGCAGGTACATCGACACCATTAGGCTCAGTCCCATTTTTCAAGGGCCCATGCACATGTAGTTTACCTGATCATTGATCTCCTTTCTTCCAAAACAGGGAGCTTAAGTCCATGAGAGTGCCTTGAAGTCTCTCCAAACACCTACGTTATCTCTACACAGAAATTCTACTTCTCAAAACAGACAGAGGATAAACAGAAGTAGGTATAATACGTGGGGTTTCCCACACTGTTATTCTTCAGGCCTCGGCATTCCCAGCTGCAAGGTCACTGAATGTACCATCCTGCTCACCATTATTCCACTTTTACCCTTTCCTCCCAACAGAAGAATCCTGCTGTCTTGTTATTTTATGTTTTATGAGTACTTTTTGCATTGCTGTACGGTGGTAGCCCCACTTAAATAATTAAATTTAGTAATTTAAATACATGCATACTGACTTACCCATAACAGAGACTGCTGCTATAGATGATTATAGAAGAGGCAGATGTCATAACGTGAGAGTGATAGCAGCTGATGGTCCTTTAACTAGGCCTTAATCAAGAGCATGCAGTGCTTTATGTGCTGCTATCAAGCCTAACAATAGCAGGTTTAACAACCAAAATGAAACCATTTTAGAGTTGGAGACAGTTAAAAATAATGGCCTGCTGTTTGACTTGTGACCTTAGGCCAGTCCTAGGAGACTACTTAACAGGCTTACATCTATTCTGTTCAGTTAGCCATAAGGACTGTGATGTACTGGGAAATCTTGGGGTTACTCAATATCCATTGACCTTGCTAATGTAATTTTTCTAGTTTGTGAATTCATTTTGTGTGAGATAGAACAGTTGAAGCTTGGATATAGGGCAAGATGCCAAAGAGTCCCTAGTGCGTACAGAAATCAAGGGTAGCTGATGGGGACAAATCTTGAGGCTAAAAGGCTGAACCTATTTGGAACCAGAAATTCAAGGAGAGTTTGAGCAATTGAAATGGTTTTTTTCTTGAACAGGCATGAAAATAGAGGCACCTGGAAATTTTGCATGAGGTGAAACTGCAGAGAGGGAATGCATTTAACATTATGTGATATTTTTGAAATATCTACACAAAGATAAATAATACCTCTGCTAAAATAATACAACTTCTGAGGAATAAAAGAATACATTTTCTCACTCAAGGTGCTGGCTGATTACTCCCTAGCATTAAAACTGGCTGTGGCAGGGAGCTGCCCTGTGGTGGCCCCCTGCACCCGCAGGAACTGCCAGCTGGCCTTTAAGGGCAATGCTGTGAGAGTGCAGTCTCTGAGGCTGCCCTTCCCATCCCTTGCTTCTTAGGATGGATTTGGTACCTCTTAGCTCTCTCTCCTGTACAGCTGGAGATACTTATGTAGTGTACTTGTCTGAGGATGTTTCTGCTTTCTTTCACTTAAAGCAATTGTTTAGTGCTCTTCCAAAGGAAGCACAACTTCATTAGATCATGGACTACTGCTTAACTCATGAGCCTGGTGTAAGGTGGTCTTTGGCTGTAATGAATAGACAGTGTTTTAAACAACATGGGCTGTGAACTACAGTGCTACTGTCCCTCCTTTTATATTTGGTGTTTTGATTTCTTCCTCTCCCTTTATATCTGCTTTAAGTAGTAACCCTGTGCATGAGGAGTGCAGCATTTCCTGGGAGGAGCCAGCCTGCTTGACTCTTCTCATTTATCTAAGACAGACAAAGCATGGCCTTGTGTTTTTCTGTGGCCTTTTCGTGACTACATTTTTTCACTGATGCGATATAATTTTTGTTACGCTTATCCTCATAGCATTCTTCGAGGCCTGGGAAGCTTTGTAGCCTCGTTTATACAGGAAAGACAGGCAACAACGTCGTCCAGGGAGATTTGTGGAAGAACAGGAAATTGAGATAAATTATTCATTTATAGTTTGATATAAACTCAGGTGTACTTCAGGACTGGAGCACTCTTCCTTGGAGACCAGTACTACCCAACAAGGACCTCCTTTGTATAACTTGGGAAGCTAGTAAAACCTTACTCATCAAATAGTTTCCTTAAGATGTTCCCAAAATATATAGAATATAGCAAGCACAGGATGAAGATTAAGGAGAACCTGCTTCCAGTGTTGCTACTTTGAACACAGATTTTAAAATTGGATTTATCTTGAGGGAAACAGCCCCCTTGCTGGCACCTCATAAGACACTTTTTGACAACTGCTGTTAACTCGCATTGCATTAAAATAATTCTGTTCTTCTTGTGCTGACCCTTGGCAGTCTGACTGCTTAGGGAAAGTCTGGCCAAGTCTTTGATGCCAGTGAAGGAGCTGGTATCCCATATGCAGCACAGACTGAATTGTAAATCTCTGGGTTTCTTTGTATTCCTGCATTTACTAAAGAAAACTGAACCATGACAACAACAAAGCCTGTGAAGTCATTCTTCATCTCTAGTAGGGGAACAAAGGGTAGAGACTCTCAGCAGACCAGGTTAGAGCTGTGCTCCAGGACTAGGACATAGAGCCTGTGAATGCTCCTCAGAGATGAGCCTGATGGAGACTCCTCAGGCAGACATATGAGGAGCTCCTGGACACTGCACAGCTGAGCCAATTGCCGGGCTTACAGAACATCCCAAACCAGATCCATAGAGGGCTTGCAGTGTTTGGTCTAGGCTTCTGCTGCTTGCTAGCTATGAAGGCCACTGCTTGACTTTCAGGCAGCTGCAGTTCAGCCCAACATCTGCACTGCAGTTTGTGTCTTTCTTTTATGCAGTGGTGTAGCAGGACTTCCTCTGCCACAGAAGAGCTTATCTGTTCTATCAGCTGGTGTGATAGCACAGGGCTTCTTCCTCCCTTACAGGAATCTGCTAATTGGTGAGATAACCCAAAGCCATCTGTCCTGTAGTGAGTTGTCTCTGATACCAGGGAGGTGGAAGTCTCAGCTGACCATAACTCACCTTGAGAGCAGATTGAAGGGAAATAAGCCTTGAATTTCTGACTGACAGACATTTCACAAACTAAAGCTACACAAAACTTTCACAAAGGAGAAGTCTTTTGCACATTCCTTGGGAATGTGTGGGGAACCTCTCCTCAAGGTTTGGGACCCTGGCTCTGAGTTACTCCTGTGGAAGTTGAGTGAAGGGAATATGTATACTCTGTCATCAAGTTGGTGGTAAACTATGTTGACTCCTAATCTATACCATTTCTTTGCTAGCTATAATATAGGTACCTTTCTTTATGCACTGTTTTATGTAAATCTACTAGTAGTTCTTTGTTTTAACCTGTTGTTTTAGTTTTGATTTGCTGTGTAGTAAGTAACTGTTTAAGGCCTTTTGTCTGTTAATCTTCTGTCTATTCAATAAATAATTCATTTTTACTAGACCTGGTTTGCCATTTTTAAGAACTTGTGAGCCAAGGCAGTTTAGGTACAGGTCACTTGAATTTAAGCTGCTGCCAAAAATCTGAACCTGAGGCAGGGCTTGTCTATGCCTTCCCTTGATCCATAACAAACGGGAGTTGACTTTTCTTTTTGCATAGAGATTGATCTTCCCAAGAACCTCCATGTTGATGGTGGACACACAACTAACACCAAAGACAGTGGCAAGCATCAGCCCTTCATTATCCTACAGTAAAACTTTCATACCTTTCCCCTGATTGAGAGTGGGCTCAAATGACTGACACCAAAGATGGTGGCAAGCATCAGTCTTTTACTGTCTCCTTGAATAAGACTTTCATATGTTTCCTCTGCAAATTCTCATAGACAGCACTGCACAACACTGACTCATCCCCCCCTTCCCTCACATGACCAGCCAACCCACTCTTTTATAACACATCTTTAGTGGGCATAGCTTCAACCTATCCAGGACAAGGCTGCTTCCACTCTTTGGTCGTTAGTTCAGCTGCAACTCAGGGGCAGGACTGCCTACATCACCATCTCTATTCTCTTACAATCCATTCTCCCACTCCATGTATCAGGTGTGACTCATTCCAGGTGTAGTTACCTGGACTTCTCCTGCAGCACAGATTGATGGCTGTTCTCTGACCTACCAGGGTGAAGATGGTACAAGCAAGGTATAGTGAATTCCCTTGATTCCTCAGGCCTGTAGACCCCACTGTAGGTACTCCTGTGATTATGGGCTCTGACAGTTGGGACTTGTGGGTATGTGGACCACAGAAATTTTGAGTGGGAATCTATGCTATCTGTGACCCAGAGAGGGAGAGCTCAAGGATGGCAATATGCTGCTGTCATGAGTAGAAGGTGTGGAGGGACTTAATGACATCCCAACAGATCTTCACGTGCAGAAAACATGGTTGCCTCTTCACTTAGAATAAGTTGGTATTACCTGGAAGGGCAGCACTCACCAGGGGCAGGGTGTCCTCAGTGTCCTAGGAGTTTTTTCTTGAGATCTTGCTCCCAGTCTTCCTTCTAAGGAGATGGACTTCATGTTTCAAGAATGCAGGGTGAATTTTTCTATCTGAACTCTACAAGAAAAGCCTGCGGCTTGAGGCACTCTGGTCCAGAAAAGCTAAATGCTGTTCTGAGTTGTCCAGCAAACAACTGTTTGTGCTGCAAGGGCCAGAACAAGGAGTGAGATACATTGTCTGTGATGGCCTACAAGGGAAATCACCAGAGCAGGACAGAGCATAGCTTCTCAACAGGTAGGAACTGGCCTTGGATGTTGCATTTTTCCTAAGCGCTCTGCAGCTCTTGTGCATCACAGCAGAGATCAAAGACAGAGTTTGTGTCCTATAGTTCACAGGGAAACTGTGATCGTAAGCAAACCAATTAGCAAATCAGTGGTGTTACTCCTGGCTAGGTGTCCGTTCTAAGCCACACCATCTGGAGGCTTGGGAACACGGTGTGGCTGTGAGTGGAGATTGCCCATGCTGGTCACCAGTGCTGGCAAGCCTTGCTAGCCATACGCAGGACAAAACCTGCTGATGAGCAGCCAGTGGGCAGAGAGGATGATAATGCAGGAGATCTTTCTGCACATTCTAGTAATGGCAGGGCACATCAGTGTAAGTAATCTCAGGGCCTTGAGTAGCTGCCCAGGCTGTTCAGAGGTCAGGAAATGAGCACCAGAGTGACAGCAAATCAGACATTTCATGCCAGCGTGCTATGGGAGCCTCTTGTACTGTGTGAATGCCCACAGGGGTTGCCAATTGTGGATTAACTGTGAAATGCAGAGAAATTAAAGTCCCTTTTTTTCTGCCACTCCTCTTCCTGCTCTTATTGCAAGCCAAGGCTGGGTCTTTTGCATGGGTGGGCAGGCAGTGGCAGCACAAGGGGCAATGGTTTTAAACTGACAGAGGGCAGGTTTAGATTAGAGGTCAGGAAGAAATGTCTTATTCAGAGGGTGGAGAGGCATTGACACAGATTGCCCACAGAGACTCTGGCTGTCCCCTCCCTCAAAGTGTTCATGGCCAGGCTTGGATGGGGCTCTGAGCAACCTGGTCTATGAGTGGCATGCCTGCCATAGCAAGGGGTTGGAATGAGATGAGCTTTAAGGTCCCTTCCAACCCAAACCATTCTAGGATTCTATCTCTTGCAGCCTCTGTGGGCCTTTATCTGTGTGCCAGCTCCCAGGGAGTGGGGAAGGCCAACAGCTGCTACCTGCTGATGCAGGTGGCCCTGTGTGAGTGCACAGCAGGAGCTGCTGCTTTCTGTGTTTCTCTTCCAGTACCCTTGTCCATAGGAGCTTCCCAAGGTGAAGTGCCTCCTCCTGCTTTATTGATGGACAGTTTTTCCTGCTCTATTCACACAGTGAACTGCTAGAGCTTCCTCTACCAGTGTACCATGGAGTGCAGCCAAGTGCAGCAGAATATAAATGCCTCCAGCAGCATGTACATAATTTACCTGAATGGGCATGGCAGCAGGCTGCTACAGGTGTACTGTGACATGAGCACTGACGGAGGTGGGTGGATACTGAGTGAGGCTCTGGTGCTCTTCCTGCTTTTTGATGAATGTAATCACACAGACGTGACACAAATGTTAGTTGAAGCTCCTTTCTCTCTGGTGCTCTCCTGTGTATCAGCTCCTTCCTGAATGGAGTAGCATGTCTTAAACAGGGTAGTGGATGCTGATGTACCCACAGTCTGGGGTTATGTGTATGTACAGTTAAAGCAGTTTCAGCTGATGCCTGTTAGTGCTTTCATTGATAGTGCTATGAGTGTGCACCTTGACCCTGGTCACACAGGAGGTGTTGAGTGATTCAAAGGAATCTGAAGGCAGAAGCATGGCTGCTTTGAGGTGGGGAATGTGTGTGAATGTGGAGGACTGATGGCTAAGGTTCTCTGATAGCATTTTCCCTAAACAGCCAGAGAAGAATATCACCTTTTTCACCTTTCAGTGATAAGTGATTTTCTTCACTGAAATAAATTGTTGTGTGTTACTGCCAAACCCCTCTGATCTTGGTGAAGTTTAGAAACCCAAACGCCTTGTGGATCTTGTCTAAGCTTGTTTTGTCTAAGTGTTCAGACCATGCTCAGATTTGTGAGAAGTAAACTGTAAAATTTGTACAACTAAGCCTCAGTGCTTATGTGCAGCCAGAAAATGCAGCATGTGAATCAGAGAATCCAGCATTAAATAGGGCAAAGTTTTTGGAGTAAGAGACGTAAATGTTCTGGGAAAAATGATGTTATAATGTTGCAGTACAGCTAGTCTTGTGCTGGTTAAGGTTGTTGTTTTTTTTTCTGGTGTTTCTGTCTCTTGCCAGAAGCTGCGATAAGACAGCATAAACTTGGCAAATTGTCCTGAAGCCTCAAGCAGGGAAGGAGGAGGCAGGAAGTAGCTGATTTAACAAAAATGGTCTTGGGGTGAGCGTCTAAGACTGCAAAGGTGAACAGGCTTCCCAGTTTAAAGAGTAATTGTCTTTTATTTCTAGGTCTTGACAAGCTGCATGACCTCACAAGCAGCAGCTCCATCTGCTAGGAGCTCCGTGTAGATTTGTGGACAGCCGGCAAATCTGTCTGTGCTGTCTATGACTTCTTCCAGGTTGCCTCAAGCAGGGAAAGATACAGGCTGTCAGTGGGGAATTACAGAGACAATGCTGGCGAGGAGGGCCTTGTACTGGTGCTGTCTCTGCACAGGAAAGCAAATTCTGGGACCTGTGTATTTGTTTTGCCAGTAGAATGGGATCAGTTGTGGTTCTCTTTGAAGAGAAAAGTCTTCGTAGGGAGACTGAGGAGAGTGTGCCCATGGGCCTGTGTCGTGCTGAAGACAGGAGAAAGAGTTACTTGTTCATGGGGAAAAGAGGGGGTCTGTGACCCAGGGAAATGCCTAAAAACGCAAGCTGGGAAGTTTCTACAAGGTAACCTGTGCTGATGGGGCAGCAACTTCTGGGGCTTCCCAGCCAAGAGGGAATAAAAGTGTCTTTTATTCAGATGGGAGTTTGCTCAACAGCAGTGCTGGCTTCTACTGCTTGTAAATCATTACTATTGCTGTTGTGTCCAAAGTCTTTGATTTATCCTTTAATACCCTCTTGTCATAAGGTTTAGATCTTCAGGGAGGATCCCCCCTTTGGACATGCCCTCTAATAGCAGTGCTTTAGAGACTCATGTCCAGACCTATCCTGTGCAGTGGCTTTTCCCCTGCCAGGCCTGCTGTGTCCTACCTGAAGGGTGGATAAGCCGTCAGGCTGAGCAGCTGTAGTAACTTACAATCTGTGTCTTTGATCCCTTCTTTTAGGGGGAGTGAGGACCAACCACAGTGTCTGGAAGTTCACAACATGGGACAGGGATAATGATGTGGCTCTCAGCAGCTGTGTGGTGATGCACCACGGTGCATGGTGGTATAAAACTGCCACCTGGCCAACCTCAATGGGAAGCACAGGGAGAGCAACCACAGTGAGATGAGCAGCAGAGCTGGTGTGCTGATTATCTCTTCATAGCCTGGAGAAAACACACAGAGGGAGTGTCTTTCCTTGGAGCAGGAGGGATTGCCCTCCAGCTCCTTTCATTAGAAAGCAAAATGATCCATAAGAAAGCTTACAGCTCTTACTCTCTCCTCCCTGGGTCCAGAGGACCTGAGCTCATGGCTCCCTTCTTCTTGTGAGCAAAGACACTTGAGGTGGAGTTGTCTTGATCTGTAAGAAGAATACCTGAAGGAACACTCACTAGGAACCACACTGAAATACTTGCTCACTGTCTGATGTAGCCTTTCCCTTGTTTTTTTGTGGTTTTTTTTAGTGCACACCTTGGGGTACATCTCACTGTACAGGCTTAATTTGGGATTGAAGATGGCTCAGTCCTGTTGTGTTCCAAGCTAGGTAGTGGTTTGATCTATATTAAGAGTGTCTGAAAGACTGATTATAATTAAACTTTCTGTTTATTGGAGGTATTTGGTATTTGAGGTGAGCAGTGGTAGACTCCTAGCACTTGGTCTGGGCACTTTAGTAAGAGAAATTCTTTGGTCTTTTCCTAGGCTGTGAGCTGGGAATCATGGAAAGGACATGAATTCTCCATCCCTTTTACAGAGATGAAGATCTATCCTCAGTCTTCCAGTAATGAGCCAGTTCTGGGGAGGAGGAAGTCTTTATCAGAGAAGAGGAAAAAGATCAGGACTCTCTGCAATACAATACCCAAACATAATGATTCAGTATTTCTTAACAAAGTTTGATTCACATAGCTTTCTCCAATACAAATAGCTGACCAGTGTGCATCCAGGAATATCTGGATCTGCAGGCCAACCTACTACCAGCTTTTGGAGCTCATTTAGGTGATGTTCCAGAGACTAGGAGGGGGCTTGTGGGGGCGTCCTGATTACAGATACTCTGGTTGGCTATGCATGACAAGAACCTGCTTGATCTAATACATGCAACTTCTATGAACTTTATGTAAAACAATCCTTAACATATGTTGTTCTTTCTGAAACTTGGGCTGCAGACTCCTCTTAATTCTATCCTTCTCTGGTGCCATCCACTTCACACTTTCAAAAATAAATTTGAACCTACTAACAAACAACAGCCCCCTAATTTACATCAGAGCAAACTTTTCTGAGACTATGAGCTCTCCCTGTTTTGGTCTGCAGTTTTCCTCATTATTTGGGCATATTCCCTATTCTTCCTGCCAAACAGGGTTTTGGGAAATGCTGCCAGTCTGCTGACAAGGCTCATTAACCCGTATGTGTTCTGTAGACTGGATTCCTCAGCCTCCAGTATCACATCTCTGCAGGTTAAAATCTTGCTATTTTGCTTGTTTCTTGTTTCCCAGCCCAGAGAAAAACCTAAGGAGATGTGCAGTAGATAGATGTTCGCACTCCAGGGTGAGGCCCAGAAGAAGGTGAATGTAAGGTCCACTCTCCTCCAGGCTCTGCACACCATACCAGACCTGCCTCTTTGCATTGCTTGCTTACAGACAATTAACCAAATTCCCTATGCGACTGTTCCATCTGCTGCCTTCTGCTTTTTCATCAGCAGTGTGTGGCAGGTAGTGATGCTGAAATGGTAACACTTGTCATCCACCTGTAAAATGAACATCTCTTAAACTGATCCTGCGTGCCCCAATGCATGGTTTCACATTTGACTGCCCTTTTTTTTCTTTCTTTCTTTTTACTCACAGCCATAAAGGTGAGGTTTATTTTCTTTCCCTGAGAAGATATTAAAATCCTGGACAGCCAGCTCCAGCCAGGGAAGAAGTATCAGCTAAACAAATACTGCTTGCTTGTCTGACCACACTGGGACATGGTTGTCCCATGTCTTACTGGCCTTTTCTATCACAGTATAAGCTGAGTAATACACTTTAAAGAATCCTTCCCAGACTTTGGAGAAAGTAATAAAATACCAAATAGAGGAGGTCTTAAAATGTTTCAGTCTTTGCTTTGGTGGTAGAATTATTTTTCTTCCTATTTAAGCGTTTTATACAAAGTGGAAGCATTACCCAGGCCTGGAGTGGAACTGTGCAGGTGAGGTCTTTGGAGTCTGCTGCAAAACAGGGATGGGGATTGTGCTGTCTTTGTGACTTAACTCTGTGAAACACTTAACTGATCTGTGCTTGCTAGGAGCTGGCTGAGGAGAGCCAGCTAGAGGGTTGTCTCTCAAAAGTGAGGACTAAATTCTTCATCGTACTTTCAGGGCTGTGCCTCTTCGGTGGCAGGTGGGCAGAGAACTCATCTGAGCTGCATTAGTATATCCAAGCCCTGGTTTGGGGGAAGGAGGAGACTAATGATGAGAGGAGTAGAAAGGAAAATTGCACTTGAAGTGTTTTGCAGGCTCTGTGCTAAGAGTATGAGAGGAGGACATGGAAAAGCGATGAGGGTTCTTTACTGTTAAGTGTTTTCTCCCTGTTGCCCACTTGTCTGTAGGCAAGGGCAGATTTCAGTTTTCAGTTAAAGGGCTCAGTGAAGTCGTCAGGAAGGTGACTCCTTCAGGAAGGTGAGAGGGAGAGGAGAACTAGTCTCATATAGAGCCACTGTGAAAGTAAGCATGTGCTCTAAAAACAGCAGGTGTCATTGTTACCTGTGACTTTTTCCTGTGCAGCAGCAAAACAATCCCATCCTAAAGCTGAATCCCACCTGGGAGCACGGAATATTCTCTTAAGCAGTATATGCTTATATGCTTGTTTTTGAGCTAAAGGCAAACGGGCACCTTATTTGAAGTTTCTGAGGAGGGTCTATCTGTCACTCCTAATGTGCCTCTCTCACAGGAAGGGCAAAGTGACAGCTGCTGGAAAACCAGTGCAGAAAGTCAGTATTCCCGAACAGCCACGGGATGGCATTGTCTCTTCACGCAGGAGAGACTTCCCGGTATTCAGCTGGCCTCTGCGAAAGCACCTTTTTGGGGTTAACAAGAGTCTGTGCTACAGTCAGGGAGGCTGGGACTGCTCAGATAATGCAATTTGTTTGCCTTGAGGAACTGGCTGTTCTGGTTTCGAGGCTTAGGATGGTTGGGGTAGTCCCATAAAAATGTCATACCCCTTCCCTGTTTTGCTATAATATGCGGGCCTGTAACAGTGATGCTGGAGGGCCAATACATTCTCAAAACTTCTGCCTTGCTCTGAGATCACTTAGAAGTTTGATTTGCAGCACACCCGGGGCAGAATTTGAATCCCAGAAGGATCCCCACTGCTTTGGCGTTGCTGTGTTGATGAGGATTGTCCTTCAGCTGGGTCCTACCAGCCAGGACCCATCTGTTGTGATACATCTGCTGTTTCTGAGACCCCAGAGAAACATTGCTGTATTCATCCAAGAAGAGGAGGAAGAGGATGCCTCTTCCCAAATATACTGCATTTCTGTATTCTTGTGATTTGGAGAGAAGCCTGAAGTGTCTTACTGCAGTGGACACTTGCTTGGAAAGCAGTGCTCTTACTTTTGGTCACTGCTCTATGCTTTGTTGGCTGAGCAAATAGCGGAATGGCCAATGAGGATCCAGTTCTTCTGTCATAGAGGGATTTAATGGGCATTTTTGCTTCCCTTCAATCTTTAGACTGCTCCAGGATGTTAAACTTCGTCTCAACCACTGCATATTTCTAACCTAGGACCCTGGAACTATCCTTTCCCCTTGCAGCTCAGGCTACCCAAAGTCACTTTGCCCTAAATCCAGTGTCTAATACCTGAAGAGAAGCAAGAAGCTACTTTCTTCTCCAGGAAGTGGCCCTCTGCCATTTCTAAGCTGCTTGTCACTGCAGTCCTGCACTCCTCTTTCACCTGGAAAAAAGCCTCAGCTTTGCAGGCAAGGGGCAGCTTGGTGCCTCATCCAGCTGAGAAAGAGGTCTTTATTTTTTGCCCTCATGGAGGCAGAACTCCATGGTGTAGGATTTGAAAAGGCTCTGCCCAGAAGCTGCAGAGACCATGAAGTATTTGTCTCATCAAAACCAACTGGGGTTAATTAGCCCGTGCTGCTGCTCCTCTGTAAGAAAAAACAACCCTGCAGCCCACTTCCCACAGCACAACTATACCTTTTTTTCTTCCTCCTACTTCTTGCCCTTGGGTAGAATAGCTTGGCTGTGCTCATTAATAAAGCAAGGCCATTAACCTGATTAAGTTAAGCTGTTTTCTTTAAGAATGACATCTCTAAGCTGCACAGCTGGCTGCAGGCAGACTGCACAGCTCTGCTGCTGAGCTCTCCCTGTCTCTTATCTAGGACCAGGAGACAGGTACAAGAAAGAAAATGAACAACAGAATTTTGTTTGCAGTTTAAGAGTAATTTATTTTTTGTTTTAAAAAAGATTGCACAAAATTTGTTGTTGTTCCCTGTTGCATGGACTTGTTCAGGAAAACTGAAGGTTAATAATGAAATGCAGTTGTGGAAGGCAGGGCTGGGGTGTCTGGAGAGCAGGGACCATGCAGTGGACTTTCTGTACTGTGCATCTTTGCCCCCTTGGTAATGTGGGTGCTGCAGGGTTGCTGCTGCCTAGCTGGTGTGTAACAGGTTCTAGTGCACCTCAGGCTGTTGCTGCTCCTTTGCTTTTTCCTCCAGAAACAGCTGATTTCAGTGCATGGTTTGGCTCAAGCAGCAGACGCCATGGAAGCCATCCCCCATGGTTTAGGGAGTGCAGAGGCTCAGACCATTCACTAGGTGGATGATCAGGGCAGGGTTGTATCCTGGTCCCTCCCTGCCCAGCCCAGGGGTGGTTTGAATGATGATGATTTTGGGAAGCTCTTGACATTCAGACCTAGCTCTGAACTCCCCAAAGCCTGGATCTGGAGATATGTGTGATACAATGCTCACATTTTCCTGGCTGTTCTCTGGTTCTTGCAAGAATTGGTTGTCCTCACCTGAAGAGTTACTTGCTCTGCTTTCTGCAGAAAAGCCTTCCTGCAGAAAGCCCTACAAAGCCTGGCACCTCTGACAGTGCTCGCTGCCTCCGTGCCCCTGCTAGTTTGGCTGAGCCTCTGGCTTCCCATCGTGTTCCCTTTACTCTGATATGTTTTTGATTCCTCCAAACAGCACTACCCTGCCTCCAGGGCTGCTCATGCCTTTGGATCACAGTACCTGCATGGGCTCCTTTGGCCAGCCTGTGAGTGTAGAGGCAGGAGGGCTGAGAAAAGTACCTGGATGGGGAAAGGAGGGAATGAAGAAGGAATAATACAAGTGCAGTGCTAGTTCTCCAGGATCTTGGCTATACGGGGAGCTTGGGATAAAGACCAGAGCTATTTCTGCATTTCCTAGCACAACATGTGGCAAATTTGAATTTTTATACCATTATAAGTTGCTTCCTGTTTTGGAGCAGAAGGGAGTCACTAATTTCAATTGTGACAAAGCAAACTGGAAAATAAGGCACATACAGGCTCAATTTAAAGGGCTGTGTGAGGAGGAGCCCAGCTCTGTCCAGGCTTGCCCACCTGGGTTTGGCTGCTTATTCCCCAGATGTCTGTCTCTGGCTGGCAGCTCTGGTCTGCTCCAGCAGCTTAAGAACTGGGCAAAAATGGAAGGAAGACATCCAGTATACAGACAGGGTAAAACCCAGATGTGATGAGGCTTCTCATCACACACATGCATCCCTCAATGCTAAAAGAGATGGGGAAGACAGAGCCTGGTGGGGCACAGAGTGGGGAGCCAAGGAGACCCCCAGCTCAAAGGACATAGGATGGGAACACAAGCCAGGGCGGGGCAGGTGGGAAACAGAGCAGGAGTGAGAGCTGTGTGTGGTGCTGTTATCTGCTGGCATCAGCTGGGGCAGCACATGCTTATGGGTCTGTGTATATCTCACACACGGCACAAGGGCTGCAGGGAGAGGTGATGGCTGAGTGTGCCAGGAAACCACGTCTGCTGCTTCAATACTGCTTTCATGTGCCTGGCCCCACTCCAGAGGGGCCTCTGGTCCTGCTCTTCTTTAGTAGTCATTCAGTAAATAACTCTAATGCCTGTAGCAAAGCTCTTGCACAGCCTCAAATTGTGTTTCTGCTCTTGCAGTAGCATGGTGGGCTCTTTAATGGCAAATTTGTATAAAACAGTCTTTCGAGGAGTGTTTTCTTAAGTGCTGGTGCAAAAGGGCTGGTTTGGCAGCCTCCTCTCTCCTTCCTGCCTCCTATGTTGTAAGGTGTCCTTCTGCTGTGCTGCCTTAGGATGGTGTCTGAGGTCTCCAAGGTTGGGCTGAGGGCATCTAGCTTCAGGTGCTTGCCAAGTGACTTTGGTTTGGTAGACTGGGAGATGGCACATCTTTGAGCTGTGGGGTAACTCGGCTTTCTTTGTGTCTCCAAAGGGAGTTGGATTTGGACAGAGCCTAGACAGTGAAGCTGTGCCATCTCCATGGCAGGGCAAGCAAACGAGGTGTGTCGGTACCTGCTTCACTCACAGCTGTCTGTGTTGTGCAGGGGGAGTGTGCAGGTGGCTTGGTCTTTGGATGAATGTTGTCCTGTGCACCTTTGTCTGTACCACAGCACATGTGCTTGCAGGTGAGTGCAGAGGGAGAACTTCGCACCCCCTTCGCTGTGTGCCAGCCCCATGTGTGCACTGTGCTCGTAGTAGGAGGTACACAGAACGTGGTGACAGGTCGCCCTTGTGTTTTCACCTGTCCTTTGCAGGGGTCTCTGCCCCAGGACACGCTGTTATGGTGGGGGAAAAGAGGCTTGCACAACCTGTACCTGACCGCCTTGTTTTCTGTTGGCCCTTCAACATGCTGGGCTCAGCCTCTGTTGAAAATCACCACAAAGTGGCAGCAGCTTTGGTATCTCCTCACTCCTCCTGGTGCAGAGGTGAAAGAAATGGTGGCATCTCAGAGGAGAGGATCTGAACACCCTCCTGTCTGCTAGATGGGCAAGGAGGGTCTCTTGTCCAGCAACAGCAGCTTGGGCTGAGCCGAGATCCACAGGTCCTCTTCATCCTGCTTCTTCTTTTTCTTCTTGTTCCTCTCGGCATGCAGCTGCCCATTGCTGCTGGAGCCACCTTTCCTTGTGCTTTCTCTCCTCCGTCTGCAGAAGCAGCAGTGGCAGCAGATGAAAATGAAAGCGATGAGGACAACCAAGGGTAGACCCAGCAGCACAGCCAGGCAGATGGTGTTGAAGATGCCTTCCTCATGCTTGGTACGGATGAGCTCCAAGATGGAATTAAAGAAAGAGCTGATCTTCTGTTGCATGTCAGCTCCTGAGTAGGCTGCCTGTGCTGCTCCCTCTACTTGAAAGGCACCTTGAGATATGCTCAGCTCCTGTAAACAGCTATTGGGCTCCACAAGAGTCCTTGGCACCTGCAGAATCAAGAAACCACATGGATCAGGTGCTGGCTCCCTCAGCAGTTTTCTCCATGGAGCTGCCAGAACAGCCTAAGCCTCAGCAGGGAAGATGTCTCCTGCCTTGGAGGGGCCTGGAACCATGGAGGATGGACTGTGCTGTGTCCCTTTGGGTTTCTTCATCTGAGAAACACAGCCTCTTATTTCCTGGGGTTTGTTCTTGATAGTGGGGATGGGTGAGGAGGGCTTTGAGGACTGTGCTGTGTCCCTTTGGGTTTCTTAATCTGAGAAACACAGCCTCTTATTTCCTGGGGTTTGTTCTTGATAGTGGGGATGGGTGAGGAGGGCTTTGAGTATCCCTACTTGTGTTGGAATTTAGCCAAGCACAAATCTTGCCCCTTTGGATTTACACACCAGCTCTGGCTGAGCACTCACAGAGCTCTTATTAGTCATCTGTAGGGCTTTAGTAGCAGATTAAATATTGTCTGCAGGAGAAGCTTTCCTGTCTAGGAAAAGACTTGCTGATCTAGGCCAGTGACCATTGTGGAGACATAGTACTGCCACAGGAGCCAGGACTCCACATGTCACAGGTGGAGTCATATCCCTCCTTATTCCCAGTTGTGGGATGGGGTATCTTTGGCCAGACTGTTTCTCAGGGTCCATGGTCCAGGATGGGCAGGGTCTGTTCCTGCTGCCCCAGTACCCTGGGCACCACCAGCAGGTTTTGTGTGGTACCTGTGGCTAAACCACCTGTATTTTGGATGACTCTGGTCAGTGGCACTCACAGGTGATGCTCAGTTGGTAGAGCCCAGTGAGCAGCCCTACCCACAGCTGCTTCTGTGTACCCTGGGCTGGCCACAAAGGTGGCAGAAGGGGAAGATAAGGGTTGGCTGGGGTGGAGGACTTGCTGCAGCTATGCCTCACCTGGGAATTGGTCCAAGAGTTTGGGTAGGGCTGAGAAGCATTTCTGTGGCTTGACGTAAGGTTTTCCTCTTCCCTCAGGGAGGGAGAGGTACTGCTGAGTGCCACGGCTCTCAGAGAAGCCTTCCTGCAGGGGCACGGAGCTGCTGCCTCTGCTCACATCTTTCTTCCTGTCCTGTGGCCAGGCAAAGCATCTGAGCAGAGCAGGGGCCTTTGTGCTGCAAGTTTGCAGTTCTGGTTCAACACAGGGGTCACTAAATTAGAGGTTGTACAGATGAAGAGCTGGAAGGGGCACTGTCAGGCTCCAACACCCTTGCTCAGCATTTTACAGCAATGTCTTTACCAGCCTTTGGGATTCAAGCCCTGCAGCCTCTTGAGGGAATGCTTAAATCCCCATGTGCCTAGGAGGGGAAACTGAGGCAGAGTAAAAGGAAAACCAACATTTTCATGTAACAAAAATTTGAGAGGTACAGCCTGAACACCAAAGGTATCCTAGAGGGGTTGCTCCACTTGTGCTCTGTGACACCGACTCCTTATCTTTCCTTCTGGCAGCTCCCACAGAGCTCAGGGACATTGAAGGAGGGACAGGCTGGTTTCAGCTGAATGCTCCTTGTCTACAGCACTGCCCTTCCTTGCTTTGCATCTCATTTATTCCTTATTTTGCACCTGCTAAGGGATGCTCGCTTGTATGGAGTGTTTTAGGATCCTCCACATAGCCTCACTGTGCCATTACACTCCATTCCTTAAAGGAAGATCAAGCCACCAGCCTCGCCCAAAAAAGCAGCCACCGGTCCCACCCAGCCCTAACCACAGCTCTCATGATACTGCCTGAGCAGCAGCTCCTGGGCAGCCCCCAAAAATCAGCTCCCAAGGGAAAAACTGCCTTCCAAAAGACTGTCCTGGGACCTACAAAACTGTACAGGGTCTTGTTTTACTGGTCTCACCTGGCTGCTGCCTTTCAGACCTGACTGTCAGGACCTCAAGAGCTGAATCCCTCAGCGTAGACGTCACACTCACAATTTGGGATTCACAAGTGCTCAGATTCTGTTAAAAATACGGGGTTTATCCGTGTCCCTCAGAAACAGACTGACCACTGTGGATTTATTGTTTCAATCTGCACGAGCACACAGCTGAGCTGGCCCCAGTTAGCTGGAGGTTTCTCTTTTGAACATGAATTTCTCTGGGTGCCTTTCAAAAAATTCTCATTTAAGGTGTACCGAATGAAATGCAGTGCTCTGGGATGTGGTTTTGGCTTTGACTGGAAGAAGTTTTATTATTATTGTTATTACTATTATTATGACTGGATTTTTGTCCAGTCTGCTACATCAAAACTGGCTGTTCCCTCATTCTGTTACTCAATAGAGGACAGAAATATCATCAACATCCCCACCTTAGAAATCATAGGCTACCACTCAGAGACTCAAATCCCAAACAGCCTATTCCTACCCCCTGCCTGGAGCCAAGTGGGAGCATCCCAGATCTGCTTTTGTTCACAGGGGAGATAAGTGAGAGCCACTTCTTAAAGCCTGCTCTCTGTCCTGACCTTCATCTTCACCTAGGTCTTTTTTTGGGGGGCAGCTGTAGTAAACGTTACATTGCAATATAAATAAACAGAGCAGCTTTTTTCAGCGTAATCATCCATGTGATGCAGGTTTGCTATTTATCCATAACTATCCTGACAGCTCATTGTCCAGGCAGGAATACAGGATGCCTATGATATACTAGTCTCCAAAAAAGAAGTAAAAACCCAAAGAACAACTGCCTTAATTTCAGACAAAACAGGATGTACGATTTTATTCCTGCACTGAACTGCTTTATATTTATTGTCTCTAAGCTTCTGGGTAGGGAAGGAGGGCTGGAACTTCCTTTTAAACTTGTAATTAATTGTTTGCAGAGTTAAAAAGAATGGGGAGGGAAAAAAAAAAAAAAAAGGAGCAAAGCCCTTTGAAATGTTTCCACTTTAAACTGGAGCTGAATGAAGAAGCCCTGGCTGATTCGTGCTGAGAAATGTCCAGCTGGGGATGTGTGGCCACCCTGGGCAAGCCAAATGTGCATCCTTTGGAAGGGGAAAGTGGAGGTACTTGCCCCTACCCTGACCAAGCAGCACCCAAATCCCAGGGCCATCTTCCAGTATGATCATGCAGCTGGTTTTCAAATGCCTTTTTTTATGGTGTGTGCAGTGCTTTTTGTTTTGTAGATGAAGGGATGTCTGTGTGCTAAATAATGGGGTTTTTCAGTTTTGTATTAAAAAAATGGGGGGGAGGGGAAAGTAGAAAAACTGATGTGTTTGGAGGCAGCAACTCCAAAGGCAGAGGGGTCACTAAAGGCCACCCACTGCCAGCTGAAAACCTGAGTGCGCCATGAGGAGCTGCATTTAGGAAAATCCATGCTGCTGCTCAATTTGGTGTGACATCTCCCCTTAGGGAGGGGAGGAACATGGAGGGCTGCTTACATGCTGTGGTCCAGAATGGGTGTGAACCACTTGCTGCAAGCATGTGGAGCTGCCATTGGGAGGAGAGCTGTTTTCTGGGTCAAGATATGGGACCAAAAATAATAGGGCCAGGGAGGTACTGGGAGACAGGGCTCTGTCTCAAGGAGACACAGGGAGGGCTGTGAAGCATGCTGCTCAATGAACCCTTTGTTTTTGGGCAGCCAGTGCTGGCAGAGCCAGGGAAAAGCTGACATGGAAACTTGCCTGGGAACTCCTGTGGCCAGGGATGGATGGCTCCAGCTGATGTCAGCTCTGCACGGCAGGGCTTTATGCCACTTGTGTAAGTTTTAATCAACATTGCACATCCAGCATAAAGTTCTTTAATCCACCCTGGCTTCGAAAGAGCCGGTTTGCAAGGGTGGGGAGCATCTGCCACTCCTCTGGAGTTATGGGAGACTGTGGGTGGAAAACAAGGTCTTTCTGAGGGATGGTTTGCGATGGGACCACAAACCATTGGCAGGCAGGGCTTGCCTGGCTGAGCTGGAGGGGTAAAGGCTGCCAGCCTGTGTGTGGGGAAACCAAAACAGAGGGGGTTGCCTCGGCAGTGCTAGCTTGTCCACATCCTGTGGGCTGCAGAGCAACCGCAGTGACTGGGGATGGAGGTAGAGTTTGCAGAAAAGCTGCAGTTTACAGGAAGCTGCTATGCTGTGTCAGAGGGCAGAGAGCTAGAGGTAGTTTTGCTAGTTAAGTTCTTTAGGCCCAACTCTCAGTAGGCTCTTATATCTTCATGAAGTTCCCTCGAACCTAACGAAGCTCAATTTGCTCCTCTCAGCTGACATGCCACCTGACTCAGGCACGGGTGGGGCTGCTCTAAGGTGCTCCCTGCATCCACGGGGAGAGCAGCGGCAGCTCTGGGGGCAACTAACCTGTGGGGTGTGCCCCAAGTATTTCTGGATTATTTCAACAGTGGTGTGCTCTGTGGCCAGCTGCAACTCAGGACTTGTGGAGGTGACATGAAATCGACTGACCTATAGCTACTCCTATTTCCTTAACGCAGATGAGACCACACTTCGTGCAGTTGATGCTGAAGAGTGCAAAGCAGGAATCACATTACTAAACAATCATTTCTGTCTGTTACTGGCTTTATGTCAGCTTTATACCAACTTTCCATTGCAATGACAGCTGTGGTTCAGGCAGGGAGAGGCTAATTTTTGTTACAGCCTATAAGCTCCCTGATCCACCCAGCAGAGACACAGCTATGCTGTCACACGAGTGGCACCTATTTTCCCTGCTTGCACCTTCAGATTTAAAGGAAAACTGGAAGAAACCTGACACCGAGGGTGAGCAGTTTCCTTAGCAGGGATTGCACGTTGCTGTTTCGGAAATGGTGACTAAGAAGGGTTTTGCCTCCGGTCTCCCAGAACTCGCAGCAGGCTACAGAGACCTTCCTCAAACGTAATGACAAACACCAAAAGCCACCAGCCAGCAAACACGACCAGCTGAAGTTTCATCTTATTCCCACCACCAAACCTTCCTACCAGAAGCCACGCATAAATGCTTTCGTTCCCTAAAGGGAGTGTTTTGGAAAACTACTGATATGGATGTTGGATAACAGGGTTAAAGTGAAACTATTTTGCAAGCTGCTGCCTCGAGCCTACTCGTCATCACCGTCTGCACACACGCGGCTGCCGTCGGCCCCGGGATCAGCGAGACTGTGGCCAAAAGATCAGTTTTGAGTTTAAGTGAGCACCACTGTCATCCCTGGATGCACTGGGAGCTCCTCAGAGCCATCCTGGCTCCTCCAAACTACAGTACGAGCAGTGCTGCGAGAAGCAGTCCCCAGCCATGGCCCTTCCTCGGGTCGATCACGCGTGGTTTTGGTTACAAAAGGCTCAGAGGGCTGGCAGAGAAGCTGTGGATGCCCCATCCCTGGAACTGTTCAGGGTCAGGTTGGACGGGGCTTGGGACAACCTGGTCTAGCGGACAGTCTCCCTACAAGGGGGTTGGAACGAAGTGGTCCTTGAAAGTCCCTCCCAATCAAACCACTCCAGGATTCTGTGGTGTTCAAAACGTGTGGATGCAGCTCGGGTGCTCCAAAACCCTGGTGCCAGGCAGACTGCCCCAGACACACGTCCCCTGAGAATTGGTTGCTGCTCATCGCCCTTTCCCCAGTCTACTGTTCTGAACCCCTCCCCCCGGGCTGCGCGAAGCAGATGATGTGACCTTAAAAAAAACAAACAAGCAAATAAACAAAAAATACAAAGAAATATAAACAAACAAACAAGCAAAACCAAACAAAAAAAACCCCAAACAAACGAGAAAAGCCCTGGATTTGAGTAGCACAGTACCAAGTATAACGCCTAGGGAAGCCCAGCCCCAGAATCCCCTTCCCACGTACTCCGCCAGACTCCAGACCTACCTCTCCGCCGCGGCCCCGTTCCGCGCGCCTGTCCCGGCAGCGGCTGCGCGGCCGGGAAAAGGGGACGGCCGGGGGAAATGGGACGGCCGGGGGAAATGGGACGGCCCGTCTGGAGGCGTCCCGCCCGCCTCCGCCCCCGGCCCGGTCGCGACCGCCCGGACCCACCTGGGGCTATCCTTGCTCCCAAACGGCGGCGGACATACACGCTGTGGGGCGCGGGCCAGGCTGCGGAGTTCAGGCTGGGAAGAGGCGGGGACGGGGCACAAACCAACCCGAACCTGGTGTGGGGAGGAGGGAGGGAACCGAGTGTTTGTTTCGCCCGGCTTTGGTGAAGCCCAGGTTTTCCCAGAAGCGTTTTTGGGAGACAGCAGGGAGAGGCTGCAGGGTGGTGATGCCGCTGCTGTGGTGGGGAGGGTAGGGTAGAGCTCCAGTTCCGCAAGAGCAGTGCCACGAATACCACCCTGGACCCCCTCATCACTGTCACCCTGCCCCCTCTCATCTCCACCCAGCACCAGTACCCTGCATGTTCTCCCTCCTGTACTGCTCTGACTCCCCACCTTCCGTCCCTGGAAAGGGGACACTGCAGCCGAGCAGGAGGTGATGGAGCACCCTCAGGAACTGCCCCTGATCCATGCAGCATCCAGGACCATTATGGGTGCTATACAACTATGGATAATGATGGGTTGTTGATGACTTGTTGAGCTGGGCTAGCTAGGGCTATCTGACCCTTCAAGGCTCCTGGAGAACAGCCTCACGCTTCCAGTGCTGTGACTTGTCAGCACCAGGAGCAATGCACTGCTGGGAATAGCGGGGAAGAAGGATAGAGAGGAGGGTGGAGGGATAGAGGTAAGTTGGCTGCCAGCCTCTGCTGCCCTACTGCTGCCTTCACCCTAGTGCTGGAGTCAGAGAGGTGAGAGATCCTCAGAAACACACATTGTAGGCTACAGCTTGTGCTAAGTGCCTCCTCATAGCCTTGGGGAAGGTATTGATGTCCTATGGGAAACACCAAGCAATTTTTCCCTGAAGATTTGCTGCTTAACACTAGGAACTTTTCCATTGGTTTTATGCTGCAGGATGAAGATCCCTGGGCTTTGCATCATGTGGTTCACTGCATCCCAGCTTCTCATATCCCACTTTACCCTATCCTGATTCATTCCATCCCATCTCTCCATGTCCCAGCTCACCCCATCCTATATCTCCTTTGTCCCCTGACTCTATTCCAACCCCCTGCATCCCAGCTCTCCTCCCTCATTGAGCTGCAGCCATTCCCTCTTTTGTGGGTACCAATCCCCCTATGCCCTATCCTAGGGCACGCCTGGGAAGCCACCTGGGTGCTGACATTCACCTGAGGGGTACCTGACCACTCTACGGCACAATGACACTTTTGAACCCCCTCTAACAGGACTGACTAAAAAGACCATCTCCAAGGGTCAGGAGACCCTCTGCGTTAGGCTTCAGGGTGACTGTCCCTGAGCCTGGGAAAGTGAAAGCCCAGCCTGTCCTAGCACCTGGGATATTTGCTTCATTCCCTGGGCAAACAGCCTCAATGGGGCTCCACACTTCTGTATCACTAATTTAATTTGGCAGAGGCCTTGACAAGGGAGGAGCTGCTGGCCTTGCACCTTCCCCAGATTTCTGGGGCCCCCCTGAACACAGTGTCATGGCAGCCTCTTGGCTTCAGGCAGGAGTACTTTGGTGATGTGGCAGAGGTGGTGGACACTGCTAATGCTGATGTTTTGGAATGCTGCTACCTGTGAAGGAGAATCTTGATGCCATCGAGGGTGGTGATGTCATTAAACTGAGCTGGGAAGCATCAGATAGACTTTAAGAAACGTAGAATTAATGCAAGAATATACAAATATAATCAGTCCCCTGCTCTGTCTAAGCTAGCATCCTCCTCCTTGTAGCTGACCTGTCAAGGTCCCTTCCAACTCAAATTCCATAGAGGTCTATAGGAGATATTTTGAATTAATCTAAACAGCATGTGATGCTTGACACTGTGGATGTCTCCTGCTGCAATGTGTGCCAAGGCTCCTTCCCATGTGGCATGAAAAAAAGGTACATTTGCACAGATTTTTGTTTGGACTGCAGCATATCTGGGATTCAAGGAATCGTGGATTGTTCCTCAGAAGCTTTAATGGGCGAGAGGAAGCTGTGACTCAGCCGCTGATGAATCACTGCAGCTCCAGATTGTCTCCCTGCTTGCTGGTGCCCCTCAAGCACAGGAACTGAGTGAGTCCATGCCAGGCAAGCTCTTGTCACCTCATGGGATGTCAGTCTGAGCCCATGCCTGGGACCAGCTGGAAATCAAATCCCACCTCCAGTTCCTGTTTTCCATCCATCCTTCCCAAAATCTTTATTTTCATGTGATATCAAAGCCTTTCCCATGCCAAAAAGCACCCCGATAACTTCAATTGCCTACTAAGACCCCCTCAACCCTTAATTTGATTTTGAAAACACTACTCATTTTACACTGAAGATAGAAACACCCTAGCACTTCCCCCTTGTTTCATTGGAATCATCTAATTTTGTTACCAGTTTGCCCTGTTACACAGCTGTGGGCTTTACTCCTTGATAACACCCAGCTGGTACCCAGGGTCAGTTTATTTAGGTGGTAGAGTGACTGCAGACCTTATCACACCTTTCTTTCCCAGATGCTTCCTCTGCTTTCTGGTGGTGATTTCTATTTACAGACACTAGTCTGGCTTAAAGTAAGCAATGGAAAACTCTGCTCCCAGAGAAACATTCCTCTCATTTTTCCCCCATGCTTCTGCCTTTTCCCCTCCCTCTCCCACTCCCACAAAAAAAGCCTGCTGTTTAAACACCAAAAATAACGCATGCCCTGGTCATAGTCTGGATAAAAATAGCAGCTCTTGGTATTTAGCAGCAGCAATGGGTTTTCTGGCTTTAGAGGAAAATGAGGAGGAGGGATGGGATGGGATGGTGACAGTGACTCTTGACAAGTGGAGGACAAACACAAAGCTGTGTTTTGGGAGAAGCTGCTTCATCCTCTCCTTTCGTTTGGTACCAGCTGGGCTCTGTCCCCTCCAGGAAGGGAGAGCTCTGAGGGTAGGTTGGGCTCAGGTGTCCCAGTCCCACCTTGGGCTGTTTTGGTGCTGCCCTTAAGTGTTTGGGCTAGGTCCCATGTAGGCAGTGATGGGGGCAAATGCTGCTCTTAGGGAAAATGCCCCAAAGCTGGTGAGTTTTTGGGAGTGCCTCATGCCCGCCTATCACTTGGGAGACTTTGCAGCTGCGCTTGCCAAGGTGGGTCAGGATTTGCAGGATCATCCCTCTCTGGTGCTTAGAAAAGAAGAATGCTAAGACAGGGAGTAAGGTGGGGTCCTCAGGTGCCTCCTCAAATACTGCTTGGTGCTTGTGTTGAGAAAACTGTGGTATAAGGGTCCTCTGTGCAGGTGAGGAGGAGGGTAGTATGTGTCTGCTCAGGGCACAGTTCACTGTTTGGGCTGTTTAGAGCTGATTGTTTTGTGCGTGTGAGCCTTCAGGAACTCCTTCCTGAGGAAATCCTACAGGCAGCATTGGTGGCAGGCAAGGGGGAGAGGACACACACTCAGAGGTGAGGAAAGCACCCGGGCTGGGCGAATCCCGGCAGTGTGACGTGGTGCCTTCCAGTTCGGAAGCACTCAAGGATCAGTTATGTAAAAGCCAGGGAAGGAAAACCTGTTAATGAATGGGGGTGCTCCTTCCCCCAGCATGGAAATGGGGTCAGCAGCAGCATCCAAGGATTTGTGGAATGTGTGAACCAAAGGCAGAGGGACGAGTGATACTTGGGCACAATCTGGTACCCCCCCAAGGACCAGCATATGCCCCGAGTTGTAGGAAGTAATGGCTTGTGCCTCCTCCAGCCACTCCCAGGGGTTTCCTATGCTGCATTGATGTCAGGTCTGATCTGCCAAGGTTGATTTTTAGGTGAAAAACCGGTTGTGCTAGTCATCTCCTCTCTCACAGTCTTTCCTTTTGGCTCAGCCCCTTGCTGCTGAGGAGCAATCAATCAGTGGCCTGCTGGCTTCCCCCAGAGCCTAGCTGAGCTGGGCAGAGAGTGCCAATCCTGCTTTTTAATGATATGCAGATGCCAAATCAGTAGCAGTATTTTGATTATTTTCATTATTTGTTCCCCTCCGTAAGCCACTCCCATGGCGGAAGCTGTTCTCAGAGATCTGTGGCGAGCTGATGTCCCTTGGCTCAGGATCACATGGTGATTTTGGCTGGTGGTATTGGAGCCATTGGAATGTTCTGTGCTGCCCTTGGGGCATAGCTCCTGCCTGAGTGTGGGACTATCTGACCTTTGTGCTTCACAGTTCAAAGTTTTCCTGCTCCTCATCTTGTTTGCTACCAGGGGCTCGGTGGGGAGGATGCAGCTGGGTGTCACGGCTTGGGCAGGGCAGCTTGCTAGGAGCTCACCTGCCCACCGGGAGGGAACCGAGAGAGAAATGCAAATTGTGGTGGGTGAAAGAGGGGAAAAAACAACCATGGCCTTTCTCCTGGGTGTGTTTTCCCTTTTTCTGCCCCTGCAAGGAAGAGCAGGTTCCTGTATTTGAAGGGCAAAATCCCCCTCGGACAGGGAGCAGAGGCTGCCTTAGGTTGTGACTAGTGAACAGGGAGATGCCATCTGGTTTTAGCCTGACTCGAGTGCAGCCAGGGGGCATTGGACCAGGAGCAGGGACAGACACTGTCTCCAGGAGTGGGGGAGACATACTGCCCTGATGCTCCTCCAGCCCCATCCCCTCTGCTGATCCTCTTCCAAGTGCCCCTTTCCAGCGCCTTCTGAAATTC